AACAAGAAAATTCATTAATATGCTCTAATTGAAATGGTCACTGAAACCAAATGTTGACATGCAGACTGACAAGGTTCCTTACCAAACTTCCAAGTTCCAACATTTCCTTGAAGATCTTCTGTCGTCCAAGTTTACTGGCCAAAGTAAGAGGCGTTAACTTTGATTGGTTTTCGATGTATGTCTTGGCTGGCTTTTTGTGATGTCTTACACAATATTTATACATATTCTGTAAAACAAAATACAAACATTATTTACAAAGGGAACAGCAATTTTCTTGAAACTGACTGTTTTTTATACCCCCAATTCAACGAAGTCATGATTATACAGGATATCCTTGCTGTTTGTTCATGCTTGTGTGTTTCCGTGCTGACTCTTGTTTATGGAGCTATCTCAGCCGTTGTTTCAAAAATGGGCATCAAACTCTGTACATAGGTATACATCATAGAAAGGCAGTGTGTTAGTTGCATCCTAAAACAAGGTGTTAAATCTAGTTTCTTTAGGTTTTTCAATCTGCACAATCATGCAATGCGCCTATATATTTAATTATGTTGGTGCAATCCATTTGTTGCCACTTCTGAAGGATATATCTGTAGCAGTGGAACTGTTGAGCCTTATCGTACTTCAATCTCTATACACAAGCTAATCTTTTACATGTACGCAGACAAAGGACCTACACGGCTTTGAGTCTTACCCTTGGGAATATTCTGGAAAACAGCTCCAAAGCGCAACTTGAAATTGTATACATGCATGTCAAAATCAAATCGCTGTTGTCTGATTGGAAATCCAAAGGTTTAACCAATTGACCAATTCGTGCATGATTTCCTGCATTTCATTGTTATTTTAAAACAGTGTTCTTTAGGTTAATGAATACAGGACATATTGTTGAAATTCAGGTTACACAAAGATATATCTAACTAATTAAGTCATAATGTTTAAGTGATAATAGTGGCAGTGTACATTCTGTCTACTGCATCGGAGGAATTATCAATTAAGTTCTTATTAGTAAAAAACACTTGCATTTCATGATTAAACTAGAAAACGTGTTGAAGACATGACTGCCCTGTGACAGGCGTATACCCTTCCCCTGAAGTCTGTAATTTAAAAGCTGACAATGAATTTTATTGACAAAATAGCAATGGTTAATGCATACAAAGCCACAGTGACCTTGGTGTTGACCTTGGTGTTGACCTTGGCACCCCCTCATACCTGACTTTTGTATAAACTTTGATGAAAATCTGTTTAGAAATGATGTTGGTGAAGCTGTGACAAGGAGGGACGTGATGTAACAAGGAGGGACGTGATGTAACAAGGAGGGACATGATGTAACAAGACGGGACGTGATGTAACAAGGAGGGACGTGATGTAACAAGGAGGGACTTAATGTAACAAGACGGGACCTGATGTAACAAGGAGGGACCTGATGTAACAAGGAGGGACCTGATGTAACAAGGAGGGACGTGATGTAACAAGGAGGGACGTGATGTAACAAAACGGGACATGATGTAACAAAACGGGACATGATGTAACAAGGAGGGACGTGATGTAACAAGACAGGACGTGATGTAACAAGAAGGGACGTGATGTAAAAAGGAGGGACTTGATGTAACAAGACGGGACCTGATGTAACAAGGAGGGAGGGGATGTAACAAGGAGGGACGTGATGTAACAAGGAGGGACGTGATGAAACAAGGAGGGACGTGATGTAACAAGGAGGGACGTGATGAAACAAGGAGGGACGTGATGTAACAAGGAGGGACGAGATGTAACAAGGAGGGACGTGATGTAACAAGGAGGGAAGTGATGTTACAAGGAGGGACGTGATGTAACAAGGAGGGACGTGATGTTACAAGGAGGGACGTGATGTAACAAGGAGGGACGTGATGAAACAAGGAGGGACGTGATGTAACAAGGAGGGACGTGATGCAACAAGGAGGGACGTGATGTAACAAGGAGGGACGTGATGTAACAAGGAGAGACATGATGTAACAAGGAGGGACATGATGTAACAAGGATGGACGTGATGTAACAAGGAGGGACGTGATGTAACAAAACGGGACGTGATGTAACAAAACGGGACGTACATTGTTACCGTAAACTTGGACATTTTTGTCCAGTCAAATTATTGCCCTTCGATGGTTTAAATTCGATTTTTCGTCCAATATTAAATTCGCCCTTCACATTTCATTACTTAAGAAATAATCAACATATGTTTGGCATTATGGTGGAATATATAACGAGGGTGAGAAAATGTTGGTAAAAGTACTTAACGAAGGCCGCTTCTGCCTGAGTTAATCATTTTTCCAACATTTTCGAATCCCGAGTTATATATTCCACCATAATGCACGCACATATGTTGATTATTCCACTGCACACATCGTGAAATGTACGGCACTACCCAGTGAAGTAAAAACAGAAGTGATTAATAATTTACCCTTTTGTCTTCAGACCTGTACATTTTAAATGTCAATAGTTAATAAACCATTTTCACTGCACGGACCCACATACTTTAGGTCTATAGATCCGTGTAATCTTTTGAATGGCAGGCCTGTCAAATATTTTGATCCCGCCTGACAGCTATGCTATTTTTGTTAATTCATGATAAAATACGGGGAGGTTGTTGGAACAGCATGCATGCACACTATTTCACGTGCATTGGTTATTGGCACGCACATGGTATATCACTCAATAATGCACTCTTTTTAACCAATAAAAACCTTCGTTACATCACAGACATGGTAGAATTATGTATATTATGTTGTTAACAAATATTCGCTGTAATGATGAATTCATAATGGAGGCGAAAAACTATAGAGAATTTCCCTGTATACAGTAACACTATGTGGTAATACGAAATTTTTACAGGGGTTAGGTCATAAACCTGCCCTATAAACGGAGTTCCAAAATGTATAATTCTCATAAACATAAGCAACAAAATGTTAACTCACTACTTGGTCTGCAATGACAACCATGTGTAGCACAGTGTTTCCGAAGGAGTCCTGGAGGTCAGGGTCGGCTCCGTGATCAATAAGGAAGTCGTAGATTTCTTCATGACCAAAACAGGCAGAAAACGCCAAAGGATACTCCCCATAGTAGGCATACCCTACAAAAACAGGAAACATTATATACTGATTAATAGGACATTTTATTAGGGGGGGGGTGCAATGGCTGAGTGGTAAAGGCGTCTGACTGTCTAATAACTCATTAAAGACCTCCACCACTGGGTTAATGGTTGTTTGAGGCCTTCGTGGGGCACTCCCCAGGTACTGTTGGGTGTTTTTTTTCTCCACATAATCTGGCTTTCCTGCACATACTCTGGCTTTCCTCCACCACTAAAACCTGTCACATCTTTAATTAACATAGTTGTTCATAGAATGTAAAATAAAAATAAATAAAACCCCAAACATTTTATTAGCTTAATTTGGAAGTAGATGATGCAGTTTGTGTTGGGCGATTAGTCAGAAAGCATTATTTTAAAAGCGGTGATGATCTATTATATTATCTAATTTCTCATGCAAGTATATTGACATCTGGAAAATCAACAATCTAAGATCCTCCTGCAAATAAACAATACCTACCGGGGTAGTACACAGCTATTTTAAGGACTTGTACTTTTGAAGTTGTACACAAGCATGATTCCCAACTCTAGGAAGTAAACCCATGACACTATGTTATAGAGCTCACCGCTGACCAGTTAGAGGATACACAATACCTGCATCCATATAGAAGGAATGAAGGTTACACCATAAACTGAATGACCCATCCAATTAAGTAGCCTGGCATGAAATCACAGCATAATCAGGTTTCAGGACTAACCTGTGTATATATAACATAGTATAGCAACAAAGTATATTCTAAAGCCCTTTTCAGACACATTACCTACATGCTATTATAGCAGGACTAGCTACTATACAGGAGCTGGGACTACTGCACAGCCGTTACATTTCGAGGGGGTTATAATTTCGCTGTATTCGCACTTTGACTAATATCCGCGAATTCTAAACACCAGTGTATTTATCGAAAATGTTAACCATTTTTATGGACCTTATCACAACACATTGAAAATACTCATAACCCAACGCAGTTATGCAAGCTTAAATGAACTTGAATCAGATTATCACCAGACAACTGGGCAGTCCACGTGAAAACAACACTTACATATAAGTGGCCACAACATATTTATGTGTACACAGTAGATGATTAATAGGTTACAGTGTACTCCTTCAAAGGTACATACACATTTGATTTTCTTTCGAGTGAAATCACTGGTGGATGTAAATTCAAAACCCTGGATATTTGGCTTAAAATGGACATAAAAGTTTAACAATCTTCGCTTTTTTCATAACTTTTTATTCAACTCTTGACATGGCGATTGAAATTAGAGACATTGATGAGATAAAATTGTAGGGAAAAATGAAGGTAGATAGAATTACAGCTACAGCGATCGAGTTTCCAAATCATCAATTAACGGGACATTAATGGTGGTACGGACGACGGACATCAGAGCCACTGGAATCTCATCCTGTGCTGCCTAGTTTATACCACAACATTCAAGTGTCAGATAAAACACAAATATAATGAATAAGTCACAGTCCACTGCTTTTTTTATTGTATATTAACAATCCATATTTGTTTTGCATGAATGGAGATAGCAAAGCAAATGGAGGCAAAACATGTCCGTTGTTTATCATCATCATTTCCTGTTCATTGAATACATGGTAAGCTGTAGGATAATTAACATGATATCATTGTACATAGCAGGTACTGCAAGCGGAGCTCAGTCGATGCTTGACATCATTTCAATCATTTGTATGTATATTATTAGCATGAAGATGCCTACACTTGTACTCAACCCATGCATAACACATCAACATGTCTCATCTGTCCACTTCCCAAAACTGTACACCAACATGTAGCAATAAACTACAACATTCTCACAGACCCTGGAACAAGACATAGAAATGACTTAGCTATGGACATTTACAGTACCACACTCATTCAAATACATGTGTATGCTCATTCTTTCTATATATCAGAATTTTGTTTATAGGAAACCAGCATAACACAATGGAACCGTCCAGCCCATTAAAACATCACTCAAAGCACATCCCTTGCAGAAATCAAAACAGCACCAGACTAACACCAGCTTCACAATGCATAACACCATCAAAATACCCTCACAACACCCACTCAGCACCATCACAGCACCATCACAACACCCTAAAAACACCAATACAATACCCTTAAAATCCCATTACAACACCATCACACTATCACAACACCCTAACAGCACCATCACAACACCCTCAAAACATCAGCAAAACACCAATACAACACCACCACAATACACTCACAGCACTATCACTAACACCAATACAACACTACCACAACACTATTATAAACAACACCATTACAATACCCTCACAACAAAATAACAACACCGCTATAAAAGAGACGATTTCTTTTGTTTGCTTGATGGAAACCCATCTTACTCAAAATTAAAATAAAATTTTCTTTATTTTTTTGGGGTATTTTACATATTCGAAAATCCCCTCCCCCAGGAAATATGCAAATTTTGTTTGATAATCCCACCCCCTGATAAAACCATTAGATATGCCTCTGATCTTAAGTTATGTATTTGTTGATATATTTATTATATTTCCCTGCACATCTGAAAGGATATTCACTAGATCCAAAATTATTAATTCATGGGCAAGACATACGCTGGTGTTGGCATGTCAGTACTTATCAACAATAGATAGGCCAACATTGAGTCCTCCCTTGGGTGAAATCAGTCAACATTTAATACGAAGGTAACATGTATGTTGTATCACCAAGAAGTAGTCCCAGGTAACATCGAGTCCTCCCCTGAGTAAAATTGTCAATGTATCGGTTACAGTGTATGTATCACCAAGAAGTAGTCCCAGGTAACATCGAGTCATCCCCTGAGTAAAATGGGTCAATGTATCAGTTACAATGTATGTATCACCAAGAAGTAGTCCCAGGTAACATCGAGTCCTCCCCTAAGTAAAATGGGTTAATGTATCGGTTACAATGTATGTGTCACCAAGAAGTAGTCCCAGGTAACATCGAGTCCTTCCCTGAGTAAAATGGTCAATGTATCGGTTACAGTGTATGTATCACCAACAAGTAGTCCCAGGTAACATCGAGTCCTCCCCTGAGCAAAATCGGTCAATGTATTGGTTACAATTTATGTATCACCAAGAAGTAGTACCTAACATCGAGTCCTCCCCTGAGCAAAATCGGTCAATGTATTGGTTACAATTTATGTATCACCAAGAAGTAGTCCCAGGTAACGTCGAGTCCTCCCCTGAGTAAATTCGGTCAATGTATTGGTTACAATTTATGTATCACCAAGAAGTAGTCCCTAACATCGAGTCCACCCATGAGTAAAATGGGTCAATGTATTCGTTACAATGTATATATCACCAAGAAGTAGTCCCAGGTAACATCGAGTCATCGCCTGAGTAAAATGGGTCAATGTATCGGTTACAATGTGTGTGTCACCAAGAAGTAGTCCCTAACATGGAGTCCAGTCCCGTGAGTAAAATGGGTCAATGTATTCGTTACAATGTATATATCACCAAGAAGTAGTCCCAGGTAACGTCGAGTCCTCCCCTGAGTAAATTCGGTCAATGTATTGGTTACAATTTATGTATCACCGAGAAGTAGTCCCTAACATCTATCCTCCCATGAGTAAAATGGGCCAATGTATCGGTTACAATGTATGTTTCACCTAGAAGTAGTCCCTAACATCGAGCCCTCCCCTGAGTAAAATGGTCAATGTATCGGTTACAGTGTATGTATCACCAACAAGTAGTCCCAGGTAACATCGAGTCATCGCCTGAGTAAAATGGGTCAATGTATTCGTTACAATGTATATATCACCAAGAAGTAGTCCCAGGTACCATCGAGTCCTCCCCTGAGTAAAATGGTCAATGTATCGGTTACAATGAATGTATCACCATGAAGTAGTCCCTAATATCGAGTCCTCCCCTGAGTAAAATGGGTCAATGTATTGGATATAATGTATATATCACCAAAAAGTAGTCCCAGGTAACATCAAGTCCTCCCCTGAGTAAAATGGGTTAATTCTATTAATGTATCGGTTACATTGTATGTATCACCAAGAAGTAGTCCCTAACATCGAGTCCTCCGCTGAGTAAAATGGTCAATCTATCGGTTACAATGTATGTATCACCAAGAAGTAGTCCCTAACATCGAGTCCAGTCCCCTGAGTAAAATCGGTCAATGTATCGGTTACAATGAATGTATCACCATGAAGTAGTCCCTAACATCGAGTCCTCCCCTGAGAAAAATGGGTCAATGTATTGGATACAATGTATGTATCACCAAGAAGTAGTCCCAGGTAACATCGAGTCCTCCCCTGAGTAAAATGGGTTAATTCTATTAATGTATCGGTTTCAATGTATGTATCACCAAGAAGTAGTCCCTAACATCGAGTCCTCCCCTGAGTAAAATGGGTCAATGTATCGGTTACAATGTATGTATCACCAAGAAGTAGTCCCTAACATCGAGTCC